GCGCGCGCGCGCGCGACGCGGCGGGAGGGATGTCCGCGCGCGCGCGCGCGCTCGGCGACGGCGTCGTGGCGTCGCGGGCGCGCGTGCGGTGTCGTCAGACGAATGATGGACGACGCGTCGGCGCGCGAGCGATCGGGCGACGGCCGAGCGACTGCGATGGCTCGCGCGCGCAGGTGGGAGGATTGGACGACGTCGTGCGCGGCGTCGTCTCCACGCTCGCGGCGGTGGCGGTGACGGTGACGATGGGGGGGGACGTCGCGCGCGCGGGCGCGCTCTCGCCGGCGAAGGAGCGGGAGATGCAAACCACGGGGGCGTGTTTGTTGCAAAACTGCGGACGAGAGCTCGCGACGTGCGTGACGGATGAAAAGTGTTTGGAGGATTTGGTGTGCTTGCAGGGGTGCTTCGGGAGGGAGGATGAGAGCGATTGCCAGATTCGGTGCGGGGATTTATACGCGTCGAACGCGGTGGGGACGTTTAATACGTGCGCGGTGACGGAAAAGTCGTGCGTGGCGCAGCGTAAGGATGATGGCAAGTATCCGGTGCCGCCGTTTGACGCGCTCGCGGATGATTTTACGATTGATACCATGGTGAAGGAGAAGCGCTGGTACATTGTCGCCGGTTTGAACAAAGATTTCGACATCTTCGACTGCCAAGAGCATTTTTTCGACAAGGGTGAGGACGGGAAGATGTACATTAAGATAAATTGGCGCGTGAATCGACCGAACGGTCAGTTCTACGAGCGAAGCGACGTGCAGCGCTTCTACCAAGATCCCGAGGGCAAGGCGATCTTGTACAATAGAGGAAACGTCATGTTGCACTATCAAGACACGTGGTACATTCCCGCGTACAAGGATAAGGAGTGGGTGTACATTTATTATCGCGGCACGAACGACGCTTGGGACGGATACGGCGGCGCTACGGTGTACGCGACGTCGCCCGAGTTGAATCCGGAGTGGATCCCAGACCTCGAGGCGGCTTCGAAAAAGGTGGGCGTGAAGTGGAGCGATTTCGTCATCACCGATAACTCGTGCAAGCCCGCGCCCGAGCTCACGCTTCAGAAGCCCACGGATCTGGACACGCTCGCCGACGACGCCAAGGTGCTCGAAAAGGACTTTGAGAAGGACATCGTGCTCGCGGAGAAAACCGTCGCCGACGACGTACGAAAGGTGGGGCGATACCTCGACGATGAGCTCAACACGTTCACCAAAAAGCTCAGTCAACTCGAGAGCGGACTTGTGAATTCGGGCCCGGGTCGACCCGCCGGTTTCATGACCAAGGAGGAGCTGAAATCCGCCCAGTCCGCCAAGGATCGACGCCAACTCGAGCGCTTCTCCAAGCGTCTCGGCAAGATCCAAGACACCTTCCGCGCCGACGAAAATTAGAGAATTGTACTCGTCCAAGCTCGTCGACCGTTCGCGAGCGCGATCGCGCAGATTTAGACCGACAATCCTTGCAAAGACGAAACGAACGCAGCCGCAAGCAAACCTGAAGACTCAGCGTAACTCCACCGCACACGCCGACGCACGCTCAGCGCCCGCCCAAGTTCGCTCGAACGCGCGAACACGCCCGAGAGACGTCCACTTGACGCGCTCGTTCACGCCAAAGCGCCCTTCGTCCACGCCACGGCGACGAAAACCAAAAAGCGATCGCATCGTCGACGTCACTGTTATCAACGCAACGCATCATGTCCGTGAGCGCGCTTCAACAGCGCTTCGCGCTCGCGCGGTCGTTCAATGCGAGCACGAAACGGTTCTCAAAGTCCGCGCGACGCTCGGTGGTCGTTCGGGCCGGGACGACGACGTCGATTCAGTTCGTCAAGGGTCAGAACGAAACCGCGGTGCCAGAGGTGCGGCTGACGCGCTCAAAGGACGGGTCGAACGGCACGGCGTTTTTCATCTTCAGTGACCCGGACGTGTTTGAAAACGGGCAAGGAGACATCACGGGGATGTTTCTCACGGACGAGGAGGGCGAGATGAGCACGGTGGACGTGAACGCAAAGTTTGTCAACGGTAAGCCGACTGGGATCGAGGCGCGGTACGTGATGAAGACCGAGGCGGATTGGAACAGATTCATGCGTTTCATGGAGCGATACGCCGAAGATAACGGTCTCGGGTTCAGCAAGAAGTAGGATGAGACCCTCGATCGAGGGTCGCGTTGTCGTGCGAAAAAGAAAAAAATTTCAGCGCGCTCTCGTCTCCAAAGCGCGACTCGCGCGTTTCATGCTCGCGCGCTCGACCTCGTTCGCGCACGCCTCGACGTCGTCCACGCGCGCACCTATATCACTCCGATCGCGCGCGATGTCCGGAGCGTCCGTCCACGCGTCCGCGTCCGGTCCAAAGTCCACGCGCGAGGCGACCAAACTGTTGGGTCTCACCGGCTCAGTCGGCATGGGAAAGTCCACCGTCGCTTCGATGTTTCGCGAGCTTGGGATCGCGGTCATGGACGCCGATGCGGTGCGTGCGTCGACCGAAGGGAATCGCGCGAGAGATGAAACGACGACAACGCGCGTTTCGAGAGATCTTCGCGGTGGACTGACCGGGACGCGACCGACGCGCGCAGACCGTACACGAGCTGTATGCCCCGAACGGCGCCGCCGTCGCCGTCGTTCGCGAGATGTTTGGCGATCAAGTCGTCGATGCGAGCGGTGGGGTCGATAGACGGGCTTTAGGGGAGATTGTTATCGGCGACGCGGAGAAGATGGCGGCGCTCGAGCGCGCGGTGCACCCGCTCGTGGATCGAGCGAGGGAAGATTTCGTGGCGAGCAGAGAAGGGGACGTCGCGATCGTGTTTGATATTCCATTGTTATACGAGAAGGGGTACGAGACGACGATGGACGCGGTGTGTGTCGTGAGCACGGGATGCGAGAAGACGCAACGCGCGCGCGTGCTCGGGCGAGACGGGATGACGCCAGAGAAATTTGAGGGGATTTTGGCGAGGCAGATGCCGGATGCGGAGAAGCGGGCGCGAGCAGATTACGTCATCGATACCTCCCTATCGCTCGAGGAGACGCGAGCGCGGGTGGAGGAGGTTTTGCGAGCAGTCGTGGAGAGACGTTGAGTCTCCGGGTTGGCTTCGCGATGAAAGAACTGTAAAATCACATATAACAACAGCGCGAGTAGTGTACAAGCGTTCGCGCGACCTAACGCTGGTTGTCGATGAGCATGGCGCGCTCCCACTGTTCGATGTCCACCGAGCTCGGGGGTGGCGGTAACACGAGACTTCTCGGCGGCTTGGCGTCGACGCTCGCGTTCTTCGCCCTTGGCTTACCGCCGTTCATTCGTTCGCCGCGCATCGACTCCCAATCGTCAATACCATCGTCGCAATCTAAGTCGACGAAGAAACAATCGTCTACGTTCTCGAATTCATCCTCTTCGATCGCGGTGAATCCGTGTCCTCGCGACGGCGGGCGCTCGCAGAGCCAACGACTTCTCACGGCTTCAATGATGGACGTTGTGAGCGGCGACCGCTTCGCAGAGCTCGCGTGCGCGTCCACAACCGCACCATCCACCACGCTTTGCATCATAGTCGTCGGGTCCAAGAGTTCTGGTGACCCACGTCGCGCACCCGCGGCGTCGTTGGTGCTGTTGTGCAAAACGTGCGGCGGCGTCTGCGCGCGCGCCGCCGCGGGCAGCGTCGACCCCTCCTGATTGCCTCGCGCCACGTGAGCCGTGAGGGCGCACAGCTGCGCAAACGGGCCCATATCTGCCGGCGCGACGACGCCGCACTCGCGAGCTTGATGCGCACACGTCGCGGCCACGGATCGAGCCAGAAGTCGCATCGCGCGCTTCAGCAAAAGTCTGCTCTCCTGAACCCGCTCGCTCGCGGTGTCGACCGAGCCATCGACGACGGCTCTGGGAAGAAACAGTGCCAATCGCTCGGCGTTCGCTCCGGCGAAATCGCGCACGTGCACGGTACCGTTGTTTTCCCACACGCTCGACGCCGCGTCGTCCCACGCGCTCGTGGGCGCCCACACGTACGAACGCGACCCGGCGTGCGACCCTCTGTGTAGGCGCGGCGCGTCGAGGTACCTCGACGCGAGCGTCGCGAAATGCAACATCGCCCCTAAACCACCCGCGAGCTCGTTCGCGTCGAACCCCTCGCCGTCGAACGCGTCCGGGACTTTACACCCGCACGCCCGCACGCGTCTCCCCGGGCGACCCGCCCGGCGGCTCGACGACGCGCGCCGATCCCCGACCTCCGTCACCACGGGCACGAGCGCTCGTAACTCCCGCATCACCCTCGCCGTCTCACGCCCCACTCGAAGCTGTATCTCCCGCAAATCGCTCTCCGCCTCCGCTAACGCGATCGGCACCTCCACCTCGAACGCCGCCCGCCGCGCGTCCCGAAGCGCCGTCGTCGCCTCCGCGATCCATCGCTCCCGCGCCTCCACGCGCGCGCGCACCGCCACCACGTCTCGTCGCTCGCGCGCGATCACCGTCTCCAGCGCCCGCGCGGCGCGACGCGTCGTCTCCGCGTTCGCCGACCGCGTCCGAGGCGTCCCGTCGTCATCCGTCTTCGCCCGCGCGTCGTCCCGCGCCCCCATCGCCGCCTCCACCGCCCCTCGCAGCGCCCGCGCCCGTTGACGCGCCGCATCGAGCGCGCATCGCGCGTCCACCGCGCGCGCGCGCGTCGTCGATCGATCGCGTCGTCGCGTCGTCGTCCCGTGGTCATCGTCCTCGGCGTCCATCGTCCGCGTCGTACGATCGACGCCGTCGTCGACGCGCGCGCGTCGTGCGATGAACGGTCGATCGTTCGCGCGCGCGCGCGGGGCGGCGCGTGACGCCGCGACGGCGGCGTCGACGTCTCGCGATTATTCAATGTGCCATTGACGTTGACATGTCGCGCACGTTCGTCGGCACTGCGCGCCCGCACCGCGCGCGCGACGGCCGGGACGAAGGCGCGACGTCGACGACGCGATCGGGGATCCATTTCGCGCGCGAGGGCGTCGGGAATCGCGCGAGGGCGCGCGCGAGACGGATGCCGATGCGGGTGACGCATTCAAATTCAAAATGTAAAAAATCACGCGCGTCGACGGCGACGGCCGCGACGCGCGCGCGACGGGACGGGCCGGCGACGACGCGCGGGGCGTTGGCGCTTCGCGTGAGTGGGATGTTCGGGGCGAACGCCGCGGACGGCGGGCGTGGGAAGGGGTCTTCGACGCGACGCGGCGGCGCCGAGGACGACGCCGAGACGAAGCGGACGACGCGACGCGCTGGGCGAGACGACGCGACGGCGACGCGCGGGGGCGGTCGTGGAACGATATCGACGTCGCGGCGAGCGGGAGGGGGGGTGACATCGAGTCGAGTGACGTCGAGCGTGGGCGCGGCGCGCGGCGGGCGGGCGGGACGGGCGACGGCGGAAGCGGCGACGGCGACGACGGCGACGGCGAGCGCGGCGGGGGTGGAGATGACGCCCGTGGAGCGCGCGAGTGCGGAGGGTGATGGACGGGTGATTCGGATCACCGCCCCGGCGTCGGTGCGACGGGCGCTCTTGAGAGATTACGAGGACTCGCGCGGGACGGATCCGCGCCCGTACGAGCGCCCGCGCGCGACCGTGCGGGAGATATTCAGGGCGTTTTTACAGGAACAGAGGACGACGACGGATTCTCGCGGGAAGCCGTTGAGCGCGGCGAGCGTCGCGCGCGCCGAAAAGACGTGCGCCGGGCTCGAGCGCGCGTTCGACGACGCCCTCGAGCGCGCGCTCCTGTACAAGGACGAGTGGCACCAACGGTCTCCTCTACCCCCGAGCGAGACCTACGGCGCCGTGCACCTCCTGCGCATGCTCGTCAAGCTCCCCGCCATATTTCCACCCGAATCCTTCGCCGACGTCAAGTCCGCGACGATTCTCCAATCCAAGGCGAACGAGCTCGTGCGCTTTGTCTGCGCCAAGGCGAGCGACTTCGGCGTCGCCGACGCGTTCGCCTCCAACGCCCCGATTCGCCCCCCGAGCACCCCCGACAACGTGGACGAACCACCATCGCGAGTTTAAACCCACCGCTTTCCTCGTTTTCGATGTAATCGACGTCGTTTCGATCGATCGCCCATCTCTTTCTCCGTTCCGCCGCCGCGCGCGCGTCCCGGACGCCGCGTCGCCGCCCCGCGACCACCACCGCCGCACTCCACCGCGCTCGACCTCGTTCGCGCGCGATGGGACGCAAGGCCAAAGGGAAACATCGCTTAGGTGCGTCGTCGTCCGCGCCGCGCGCGCGACGCGGGCGCCGTGGACGCGCGCGCGAAGGATTTCTCGCGCCGCCGCCGCCGCCGCGGACCGCGACCGAAAACGCCGCGCGTGAACGACGAACGCGCGAACGACGAGCGCTGACCGCGCGCGCGCGATGTCGACCGCGTCGCAGATAAGTACTACTACCTCGCGAAAGAACAAGGGTTCCGAAGCCGAGCGGCGTTTAAGTTGGTGCAGTTGAATCGCAAGTATGACTTTTTGTCAAAGGCGCGGGCGTGCATGGACCTGTGCGCGGCGCCGGGTGGATGGCTTCAGGTGGCGCAGAAGTACATGCCGATGAATAGCTTGATCGTTGGGGTGGATTTAGCGCCGATTCGACCGATACGAGGGGTGACGACGTTCGTGGAGGATATCACGACGCAGAGCTGTCGAGCGGCGCTGCGGCGGGCGACGCCAAAGGGGACGCAATACGACGTGGTGATTCACGACGGCGCGCCGAACGTCGGTGGGAACTTTGCGAAGGAATCGTACACGCAGGCGGCGTTGACTTTGGATTCCTTGCGATTGGCGACCGAATTTTTGGGGCAGGGTGGGTGGTTCGTGACAAAGGTTTTCAGGTCGGTGGAGTATCACGCCCTGCTGTACGCGTGTCGACAATTGTTCAAAAAGGTGGAATCGACGAAACCCGTGGCGTCTCGTGGAACGTCGGCGGAGATTTACGTCGTGTGTAGCGGGTACCTGGCGCCGACGAAGATCGATCCGAGGCTTTTAGACGCGAAACACTTGTTCGCCGAATACGAGGACGAGGCGAAAGCCGTCGACGTCACAAAGGATGGTAAACGTAAACGCAATCGTAGCGGATACGAGGATGGCGTCTCGACCCTTTACAAGGAGTGCACGGCCGAAGAGTTCATCGTGCAAGACAAGCCGGGAGAGATGCTCGGATTGTATCATACGTTCATTCTGGACGGCGAGGTACGTGCGAGACTGAGACCTCAATTTTTTCTCTACCCGTGCCGCGAGACCCGACAGCCGGTGAGGATCACTGCTCACAGTTTGTTTGAAGGGAGGTCAGAGCCCCTGCTGAAACGAATCTGTCTAGTACAATGCCGTTTACCCATCTGAGGCTTCGTCGCGGTCAGGCGCTCTTTTTCTTTAACTGCAACGCGCGCTGAGACGAGATGACTAACCATTATTAACCTTTCGCGCAGAGTCGAAAAGGATTGGAACCACCCGAGGAGGTGGGTTGGATGAATCTCGATAGCCATCCAGCGACGACGGATGAGATTCGATCGCTCGTGAGTGACCTCGGGGTTCTGGGTAAGGCTGATTTTAAGCTCTTACTCAAGTGGAGAACGCAGATTAGGAAAGAGACTGGATTGGAGAAGAAATTACGACGACGCGGCGAGGACGAGGAAAGCGACTCCTCCGATGAATCCTCGGGCGGCGAGGAGGAGGCCGGTGATAGCGATGACGACGAAGAGAACGATCAGCTGCTGAACGAGATGGGTGAGCTGAAGGCTTCGATGGAGGCCCAGAGGAGAAGAGAGAAGAAGAGGAAGGCGAAAATCAAGGCAAAGGAACGGCTCCGCGTCGCGCGAGGCTTGGCGAGTACCGCCGAGGCGATCACGGAGACGGAAATGGACCTATTCTCCCTCGCACGCATCAAGACGAAGAAAGATCTCGATGTCGTCTCTAAGGCGCCCACGCCGGGCATCGATGCTGCGCGAGACAGCGACGAGGAACCGGATGAGATGGACTCGGACGCGAGCTCTGACTCGGAGGAGGACGAGCGACGATTAGACAAGGAGGTGGACGAGATGTGGGCGATGTACAAGGCACGTCGATCGAAGAAGGGTGAGAAGTTCACCGAACCTAGCGTGGGTAGAGACAAACGCGTTCAGCTCGGCGCGGGGGAGTTGGACTCGGACGATTCTGACGAGGACGGCGTTAGCGACCCTGCTGACGATGAGTTCAAATCCGACAGCGACGAGCTCGAATGGGAAGACGACGAGGACGATGAAGTCGATGAAAAACCCAAGGGCAAAAAGTCCAAAGCGAAAGATTCGAATCCTTTACTGGTCGACCTCGGCTCTAAACCGAAGAAAAATGCGGCCAAGGCGGCTGAAATGTGGTTCGCCAACGATTTGTTTTCGAGTGGCGAAAAGAAGACCACCGCGTCGACGGCGGCTGATTTAGATAGCGACGACGACGAAGAGGAGCCACCGAAAGCAAAACCCATAACGAACAAAAAGAAGAAGGCGGCGAAGACCAAGGCGGCGGTTGAAGACGCCGAAGAGGAAAACTTTGACGATCTTCGCGCCAAGGCAAAGGCGACCAAGGCTAAGGAGGAAGCCAAGACGAAAAAGAGCAAGGTCGCCAAGGGATCTGTCAAGCGAGACGATACGTACGACGACGTCTCCGACGATGAGCGTCCTCTTAAAGGGAAATCTGGCGCGGACGATCTGGAGGTTGTCCCCGAAGATGCGCCCGATTCGGGGAGCGACTCTGACGGGAGCAAGTACGGTTACGATTCCGAAGTCGACGAGCTTTCTGACGACACTCGCGCCCGGATCTTGGCTCTCGGGAAGAAGATGGTCCGCAAGAAGGACCGCGAGGAGCTCATCGATGATGCGTACAACAGATACGCCTTTGATGATGATGACGTCCCCGATTGGTTCGCCGAGGACGAGCGGCGCTTCATGAAGCCGATTCCGCAGTGGACCGCAGCAGACATGGCCGAAGCTAAGGCGCAGCTCGCCGCCGTGAACACGCGTCCGATCAAAAAGGTGGCCGAAGCGAAGTGGCGCAAAAAGAAGCGCGCTGAGGCAAAGATCTCCCAGGCGCGCGTTCGCGCCGCCGCCATCGTCGATCAAGAAGACTTGCCCGACGTGAGCAAGGCAAAGGAAATCGAGCGCGTCTTCGCCAAGGCTCGCAGATCCATCGGTAAGGCTAAGAGCGGGAAGGGCACACCGAAAAAAGTTGTCGTCGCTCGTAAATTCCACCGCGGTAACGCCGGTGGTCCGTCCGTGGATAAGCGTCAGCTCAACGATTTGCGCGCGCAGAAGCGCGCGATGAAAAAGAGCGGCGGCGGCCGCGGCGGCGGTCGCGGCAAAGCTGGCGGTCGTGGCAAAGCCGGCGGTCGCGGCAAGGGTGGCAAGCGCTAGAGTTCTCAACAAAATCTTAGAAACTTTCTGTAACGCTGCAAAACGACGAAAAACCACGCGCGACGCGTCGAACATCAGTAACGCGCCCGCTTTGACGACTTTAAACATTCCAAAACCAGCTGTCGCTCCATCACGATCGCGCACCGCATTCCCCCCCGCGCGTCGCGCGCTCGCCCCGCGATCGCTCGATCGAAGCGCCTCGACGACGCCGTCCCCTGCGTCCATCGCTCGGATCGAGCGACGCCCGTACACGGACGTGAACCGAACGTAAAGGGTCGAAAACAGATCTCGGAGTTGATTCCCCCGGACGCGCACGCACGCTCGCATGCGCGCGGACGTCGGTGAACGCGCACGGGAACGCGCCCCGGGTCCGTCGAGGGTCCATGTGCACGGCGAGACGTCGTTGGATGATTACGTGATCACGCGACCGTGCGGTGAGGGGTCGTTCGGGCGGGTGTTCCAGGCGCGTCGACGATACACGGGACGCGCGTGCGCGATGAAATTTATCCCGAAAAGCAACAAGAGCGAGCGGGAGTTGGCGTCGTTGCGACAAGAGATCGATATCATGCGAACGCTGGATCACCCGAACGTGATTAAGATGTTGGATGCGTTCGAGACGGAGCGGGATTTCGTGGTCGTGATGGAGTTCGCGCAAGGCGTATTGAGCGACGTCTTGGCAAACGACGCGACGTTGCCGGAGAGTGAGGTTAGACGGATCGCCGAGCAGTTGATCTCGGCGCTGCATTACTTGCACAGTAATCGCGTCATTCATCGCGATCTGAAACCGCAGAATATTTTGATTGGGGGGGACGGAAAGGTGAAGCTTTGCGACTTTGGTTTCGCGCGTTCGATGAGCGAGTCGTCGCTCGTGATGACCTCCGTGAAGGGTACACCGCTGTACATGGCCCCGGAGCTCGTGCAGGAACAGCCGTACGACCACACGGTTGATTTATGGTCCATCGGTATCATTTTGTATGAGCTCTTTGCCGGGGAACCGCCGTTTTACACCAAGTCAATGTACACACTCTTGCAGCGAATCGCCAGGGAGGACGTCAAGTATCCGGAGACGATGTCGAACACGTTCAGATCGTTTTTGCAAGGGCTGTTGATAAAGCGACCTCGTGATCGGTTGAACTGGCCAAATGTGCTAGATCATCCGTTCGTCAGACGAGTCGATGGCACAGCGACCGAGGACGCGAGAGACGACAGAGTCCCGGAGGAGCCGACAAATCGGGCGCCGACGAATCGCGGACGGGAAGCGGGTTCGGCGCACGATGGGCGATCTAGCGGCGGCTCGTCGTCGTTATTCTCGAGCATGGAGGATGTGAATGACGTTTTGCGGGAGATTGAGATTACGGCGCGTAAATCAGCAGATGCTGCGTGCGGTTTAAGATTCGACAAGGATGCGTTGACGAAGATCATGGAGACGCTGCAACCGCAGTCCTCGTTACGAAGCAAATTTTTTCCAAGCGTGATCTCCAATCGCACGCTAGGGAAAAAGTCGGAGCCAAAGCTCGCGAAGACCGCGGATGTCATGTCTGCTCTACGATCGACTCTTCTGATTTTATCCGTTCCCAGGGAAAAATTGATACGCTCAGGCGTCGGTTTGTCCGTCATCGGCAAGGAGTTACCCGCGGCGGTCATCAACGCGTGTTCCATGGCAGCGAACGCGAGCGACCCACCGCAGCCTGAATTATTAGCACTCGCCATCAGAGTCGTCGCGGCTATGGCCGAGCCGACGGGATCGTCGCCGTGGTGCGGGCTCGGGCTGTTGGGATACTTGATGTTCCTCGGGAAACTTCTCGGGTACCAGCACCGAGACCTCGGTGAAGCCGTGCTTTCGACGACGTGCACGGCGATAGCGGACGCCGTGGAAGCCGCGATGAGTCGTGGCCAGAGTGTTGAGCTCACAGCGACGCGTGCGGCGCTGGGTCCGGCGAGTTCTAGGGGTGGAGGCCTCACGGATGCGCTGTGCCAGACTTTGGCGAAGTCCACGACACAAGCGACAGCGAGCGAGACGTGCAGAGCTCTGTACGCGGCGACAGAGATCGGAACGTTGACGAAATACGTGGCCGTGACGCTATCAAAGAAGAATGACGGCACGCAAAAGCTCATCAGGAGCGCGACGATGAAGGTTCACTCGGCCAAGCTACTCAAAACTGTCGCAGAGGCGAACGAAGACATCCGTACCGAAGCCAATAATGCCGACGGCGTGCGCATATTAGCCGCCATCTTGGTTGACGAGACGTCGAAAAAACGGGTCACATCTCAAAATGCTCGGTTAACGGCCGCGGTGATGAACGCAGTGGGGCCGTTGCTCACCTCTCGCACGCAGCATCCAGTGGTCACGATGCTTGATGTCGGCATGGCTGAGCCGCTGTGCTCAGCGCTCACAGCTTTCAGATCGGTGGCAGAACAAGCCGAGGGCGGCACCTTGAACGACGTCACGCTCGTGCCAGCATGTGAGTTGATGCGACTAGCGCTGATGCCCTTGCGGACGCCCGACATGGAAGAACAGCCGACGGAGCGTGCGAATCGTCAGTTCAGAGCTATGCTCTTTGAGCGCAACGTCGTGAAGACACTCATTGAGAGCGTCACAACTTCACCTTCAGATCAGTGGTCTGCGCCGATCGCCCTCCTCAGCTCTCTCGTTATGAGCTCAGGTATTCAATCGAGCCAGATCGCCGCGATTTTCATCGCTAGTGGTGGTCTCGATCCGACGCTTTGCGGTAAGGTGCTCCAGCACTCGAGCGCGCAAGTTGTCGTCGACTGGCTCATCATCATCATGCAACTTTCTCGTATTGACAAGGAGAACAGCAGGGTGATCGACGAAGCAAACATCATCAAGACCATCACGCGTTTACTTGATCATCCCGACGCGAGCGTCCGCGCTCGGGCGTGCAACGCGATCGGTAGCGTGTGTCGACACGATGACTACTTCTATGAGGAGTTCCTCGAGGTCAAGACTGTTGAGAAGCTCATCGAACGCTGCGGTGACCGAGATCGTTCCACGCGTAAGTGGGCTACCTTTGCGATCGGTAACGCGGCGTTCCACTCTGATGCACTCTACGGTCCGCTCACCGCCGCCGTGGATCCGCTCATGTACCTGCTTGACGCCAACGAAGAGGCAAAGACGCGCTCGAATGCGTGCGCCGCACTCGGCAACTTGGCTCGCAATTCCAACGTACTCTGCGGTCTCATGGTGAACTCCGGTGCTTTAGACGCGATCATCAACCTCATTACTGCTCCGAGCGAAGGTAAAGAGCCCGCGGCGTTCGACCCAGAGCTCATCAAAGTGTGCTTCTACTCGCTCGGCAACCTCTGCAGGCATCGAGCGTGCCGCGAGCGTCTCGCCGCGAGAAATATAGACCCCATCCTGGACGACCTCGCGCAGCGAGGTACCGGTGACGTGCGAAGATACGTCGACCGAATCAAATCCAAGCTCGCCGCCGCCAATGTGCGCGCGTCGCAATCCCCCGTGTAACAACTTCATTCCCATCGCCCGACGTCACACCCCGCCATGCGTTCCGCCCTCATCACCGCCCCCATCGTCGACGCCCGTCGTGCGCGCGTGCACCGTCACGCGTCGATCACGCGCGCGCGCGATTACCCCAAACCCGACCTCGACGTCCCGTCGAATGGAAACTATCAAGAGTCCAAGGCGCTGAGCCAAAAGCTGAAATCCATCGCGTTGGCGGAGCGCAAGAGCGTGTTAATCATCGGTGGCGGCCTCGCGGGACTGTCGTGTGGAAAATATCTATCAGACGCGGGCGCGCGACCGATCGTGGTCGAGCGGAATAAGATGTTGGGGGGTAAGGTGAGCGCGTGGCGAGACGCGGAGGGCGACTGGATAGAAACGGGCTTGCACATTTTCTTCGGCGCGTATCCAAACATGATGAACCTGTTCGCCGAGCTCGGAATCGAGGATCGATTGCAGTGGAAAGAACACTCGATGACGTTCGCGATGAAGGATTACCCAGGGGAGTTTACCAAGTTTAAGTTTCCGGAGAACGTGCCGGCGCCGTTTAACATGGCGTACGCTATTTTGTCAAACGATAAGATGTTGACATGGACGGAAAAGTTACGCACGGGGGCGCCGTTGGTGCCCATGCTCGCGGGTGGTCAAGGGTACATCGACGCCCAGGATGAGCTCAGCGTGGAGGAGTGGATGAAGAAGAATTTCATGCCCAAGCGCGTGAGCGACGAATTGTTCATCGCCATGGGTAAGGCTCTGGATTTCATCGACGTTGACAAGCTTTCGATGACTGTTATTCTCACCGCGATGAATCGATTTATCAACGAGACACACGGTTCAAAGACAGCCTTTCTGGACGGGAATCAACCCGATCGACTATGCGCGCCGATGAAGGAGCACATCGAACGCGTCGGTGGCGGTGAGGTGATGGTGGACACTCCGATGCAAGAAATTCTGACGGATGTCGAGGGAAATGTCGAGGGCGTAAAGTTGCGAAACGGCGAGATTCTCACCGCCGATCACTACGTGTCCGCTATGCCCGTCGATGCGCTCAAGTTGAAATTACCCGACGCGTGGAAACCGATGCCTTTCTTCAAGCAGCTCGATGAACTGGAGGGAATCCCGGTCATCAACGTTCACCTCTGGTTCGATCGTAAGCTTCGTCCGTACGACGGTTTAGTCTTCAGTCGTTCTCCATTGCTCAGCGTGTACGCTGATATGTCGGAGTGTTGCAAAGAGTACACAGATTCCGAGCGCTCGATGCTCGAGCTCGTGTTTGCTCCGTGCGACAAAAGGGCGGGGTCTGATATCAATTGGATCGGCGCAAGCGATGAGGAGATCGTTGCCGCGACGCTGAAGGAACTCGAAAAGCTGTTCCCGGACGAGCTCGGCAGCAACGGTGGCGCGAAGCTTCGAAAATCCGCCGTGGTCAAAACGCCGCGATCCGTGTACGCCGCGATTCCGGGGAGGAACAAGTTCCGTCCGTCCCAGCAAACGCCCATAAAAAATTTTACGTTGGCTGGTGACTTTACGAGTCAAAAGTTTTTAGGTTCGATGGAGGGTGCCGTGCTGTCGGGGAAGCTCGCCGCGGAGGTGGTGGCAGAAACGTTAGCCGGATGCGAACCCACGCGCGGTATTAAACCCGTGCACGAATCCGTCAGAGTGTAGGATTATTTAGAATAGATGTTGCGCGCATAATGTTTTGTACAAGTAACAGATATCAATCATGCGGTCAGGCGTATTCGGGATCGAGCGCGGCGCGAAGTGCTTCCTCCACGGCGTGCACCGCATTTTTGGCGCCGTCTTTCGACGTCGTTTTTGCGGTCGCACTCGCGACGATCTTGAACATCTTTCCAAGATGGGCTAGAGCTTTGGCGCGCTCGGCGCGGCGCGCCTTTGGAACGCTCGCGTCGTGGAGCACCTTTCGCCCGACGTGTCTCAGCGTGCGCTCGATGTCCACGCTTGTCGTTGACCAGAGCGCTGCAATGACGTGTGGCAAGACGTCGAGCTGTTGCTTCGTGCGAAGCGCCTCGATCTCCTCCTCAGTCGTCGCTTTTGCCACGGCTTGCTCGGAGGTTTGAATCGTCGCCATGACGCTCACGCCCGCCTTTAAGGCGTCGAATGTGTTTCTGAACGACGAGGCTCGTTGCTTCAATTTGACCGTAGTTGTGCGAACGCCGAGGTCGAGCCACGTCCCCGTCCCCGCGAGCGGATCCGTGAGATACTTCTTGGCTTCCATTCTGTAGCACGAACCAATTTTCGCCAGCATGACGGTACCGAAGGACGTCTCCGCGAGCTTTTGTGCCATCGGTTTCAGGGCGTCCAAGAACTCCTCCGCGTGAATCGACTCCTTCTCGCTCGGTGTTTTCGCTCGAAGATCGACGTACACGTCTAACAACGCCGCGAGCTTGATCGCCAACCGAATCTCTCGTCGACTCTGAAGCAAATCCGACTCCTCCTCGGTGAGATCCGTACCCGCCATCGCGAGCGTGGCCAACTGCAAGCGACCGACGAAACCATCCATGTGATCGCTTCCGAACAGCACGCTGAAAAACGCGCTCGATCAAAAATCGCATCATCCGTCGTCTCTCCCAATCGCGCGCCCTCGAGCGCTAAATCGTCTCGCGTCCACGCCTCGGCTTTGCCGTCCCATCGCTCCCCGCGCGCGCGCGCCTTGACCGCGCCCGGCGTGTTCGCCACCCCAAGCGCGAGTTCCATCGACCCCAGCACGACGCCCGCCACCGGCAGCGCCACCGCGCTCGCGACGCCCGCGCCTAGGCCTCGCGCGAACCCTCCGACGCCGCCCGCGCGCGCTCCGCGCGCCGGCGCGACGACCAACGCGCGCGCCCCCATCGCCGCCCCCGCGCCCACGCGTCCCACCGCGCGCGCGAAGCCGTGAAGCGCGTCCCTGGGCCCCCGTCCGGGGTCCACGCGCGCGCGCGCGGCGTCGTCGTCGACGCGCGCGAGCGTCATCGCGCGACGCGATGATGATGTCGACGCGCGCGCGTCCCTCGTGCGCCCGAGAGCGTCGCGCGCGGACGACCGCGCGCGCGAGCGATGACGCGGACGACCGCGCGCGCGGTGGACGCGCGACGACGCGACGGGACGCCCTGCGCGCGGGATTCCACCTCGACGCGTGTCGACGGCTGACGCACATGAATCCATCGCTCGCGACGCCGTGGACGCCCACGACGGACGCGACGCTCGGCGAGCAGTACGCGCGCGCGCTCGAGCTCGCGTCGGACCGCGAGCGACGGCGGACGACGATCGGGCTCGAGGCGGAGGGTGGGACGTTGCGCGCGCGATGGCGAGCGGGACGCAACGAACTCGCGGGCGTCGTCGATAGTGGATCGCCGTTTTTGACGACGTTTCGTCGGTGTGCGGCGTCGGGGTGGGGGTGCGTGGACGCGAGGGATGTGTCGTTCGTCGCGTTTGAGTCGACGAGGGAGACGTACGGATTACAGATTGACGACGCGACGAGTTGGTACGCGGCGACGCGGGCGGGCGTGGGAGAGTTTAATTTCGATGAGCTCGTCTTCGGCGTGGCGGACGGGGTGAGAGGGACGAACGCGGCGCCGTTCTTTGGACTCGTGAAGTACGTCAATCGTGAACGGGGGATACGGCCGAGTTTTTTGCAGCAGACGGATATCTCGTCCTTCGCGTTGGATTTCGATAACCAGTCGTTGACGCTGAGCAGGGACTCTCTGGTCGATCCGACGCGGGCTGGGGTGCTGCGAACGGTGGATTTGCGCGTGAAAGGGGCGCCGGTGTATCACTACGCGTCGCTGTGCGACGAACTTTGGATTAACGGTGAGCGGTTTCAAACGTCCAAGCCGATTTACGTCGCGTTCGATTCGGGCACGACTGGGATGCTCGTCGACAGGAGTTTGTTCGATGCGTCCGATTTTCAGCTCGGGTGTCGATCGGTGGACATGAAGTTTACGGACGTGCACGGTCAGGCAAAGTTTTGCGGGAGCTCCTTGAAGACGTGCACGCGCGATTGTCTATTCATCGTGAAGCCGATTGACGTTCCTTGGGAAGGCGTCGGACGCGACTATCACATCGTCTTCGCGGGTTTGTCCGTCCTACGTAACGAAGGTTCGCTCGTCGTCGACGCCGATCGTGGACTCGTGCGTCTCGGTCGCTTCGAAGTTTAATTCCTTCGTGCGCGTGTGTGTGAACCGTAGCGCGTGTGTGTATGTAACTTGACTTTAAAAAAGGGTGCTAGCGAATCAGTTCATCGCGCCCTCCTTCAAGACGTCGATCATGTCGTACAGCGTCTTCGAGTCCTTGGCGTCAACCTTGCGCTTGAGGAACCCGACCGCGTCGACGGTGCCTTCCGCGTAGATGCTTCGCCCGCACACGTTGTGTTGAAACTCAAAAGAAACCGTGCCGTCGGCGCTCGTGAGGCGGTACGTGTGAAACGCGTGTCCGAGCAAGTGTTCCTCCGGAACCCCCATGCGACCGGTTTGGTTCTCCACGTCCCGCACGAGCTCGATCTGACTCACGTCAAAATCGCACCCGAGATCGTTGAACGAGGCCACGATGGCCTTCGCCGTGCCGCTCGTGTCCTTTTTACTGCTCTGGTGCGACTCCGTCACGGTGAGCGTGTACCCCGCGAACGCCCCGGGAAACTGCTCCGCCATGAGTTTCATCGCCGCCTGAAACGCCACCACCTGCTTCCCCATCTGCGGCGCGATCACGGCGTAGTTCCCACTCGCCTTGACCTCTCTCAAAAGCGCGTCCCGATCGCCGCCCGTCGTGCCCATGACGAACGGTACGCCGCACTTTACGTACAGCTCCCCATTCGCGTTCACGCTCTCCGGAAGCGTGTAATCGACGACAATCAACCCAGGATACGTCTCCATCGCCTTCTTCAACACCGCTTCCCCGTCTTCCGCGTCCACATCGATCACCGTCACCGCGACGCCGTCGACGTCGACGACCCCCGCGCGCCCTTTCCCCAACGCCGTCGGAATCAGCTCGAACCCATCCCTGCGCACGACCGCCGACGCCGTGGCGCGTCCCATCTTCCCACCGACGCCGCACACCATCACGGGCGTCGGCGTCGCGTCCACCATCGCGCGTCGACGCACCAGCGCCCGCGCGCGTCCGTCACCGCGCCTCACGACCGACCCCGCGTTCGCACGCGCGCGTCCGCGCTCGACGACGCGCGCGGGCGCGCGGGCGCGCATGGGCGAACGTCGACGACGCGCGCGCGCGCGACCGTCTCCCGGGCGTCGCCCGCGGCCGTCGTCGACGTCGACGACGTCCACGGGCGACGGCGCGCGATCGTGACGGTCGGATGTCCGTATTCGAGCACGCGTGAACGCGATGTACGACACATGACACACGCGATGGTCGGATGTCCGTATTCGAGCACGCGTGAACGCCATGTACGACACATGACACACGCGATGGTCGGATGTCCGTATTCGAGCACGCGTGAACGCCATGTACGACACATGACACACGCGATGGTCGGATGTCCGTATTCGAGCACGCGTGAACGCCATGTACGACACATGACACACGCGATGGTCGGATGTCCGTATTCGAGCACGCGTGAACGCCGTGTACGACGAACGACACGCGTGACGGTCGGACGCTGTCGTCGCGTACAAGAGCCCACATGGGACGACATCACACAGAATACGAACGCGTCCCGCCCACGCGTCGCGTAAAGGCACGCACATGGGACGACATCACACAGAATACGAACGCGCCCCGCCCACGCGTCGCGTGAACGCACGCACATGGGACGACATCACACAGAGTACGACACCAGGCTGTCCCGCACCGAGGAATATCCCGCGACGACCACACCCGAGAGCGTCGGTTACGCCGCCGTCGCACGTCGACGCGTCGACGCCGCGCCCGAACGCGCGAACGAGCGCGCGGGCGCGCGGGCGAGAGCGCGAGCGCGAGCGCGAGAGAGCGAGCGCGCGTTCGGGCGGTCGTTCGCGCGCGTGGAGGTGCAAAAGAGGCCGTGGACGCGGCGGCGGGGATCGCGATCGCGCGCATCTTTTTCATCGCCGTCGACGACGCGCGAACGAACGAGCGATCGAAGCGAACGTTGAGGCGCGATGTCGTTGTTGAGTCGTCGGAATGAATCCGCGGACCCGATCCCGATGGAGGAGCGACCGGCGAAGACGGCGAAGACGGTGGGCATGAGCGGGTTGAGCTCGAACACGGCGCTGAGCGCGTTATTAGGCTCGCGAGGGCACGGGACGGCGCAACACATTCTGGAGAATGGGCACGTGCGGGCGCTGAGTGAGAGCGCGGAGGGGATGTTTCGCGAGCGGGATAGTCACAGGATTGGGTTCAAGTCGAAGATCATCTGCACGCTCGGACCGGTTTCGAGGACGGTGGAGATTTTGGAGAAGATGTTGCGAGCCGGAATGTCCATCGCGCGATTCAACTTCTCTCACGGCTCGCACGAGTACCACCAGGAGACTTTGGATAATCTCAGACTTGCGTGCGCGAATACTGGAGTGGATTGTGCGATTTTACTCGACACGAAGGGACCGGAGATTCGCACCGGTATGCTCGACGGCGGCGGCCCCATCATGTTGGAAGTCGGCAACGAGATCACGTTGACCACGGATTACGACTTCAAGGGTAGCGCGGAGAAGATCGCGGTATCGTACCCGGATTTGGCGAAGGATGTCAAGCCTGGATCGAAGATTTTGTGCGCCGACGGCTCGGTGACGTTCACCGTGCTCGAGTGCGACGTCGCCAAGGGCGAGGTGCGATGTAAGCTCGAAAACAGCGCCAAGCTCGGCGAGCGCAAGAACATGAACTTACCGGGCGTCGTCGTGAACTTGCCGACGATCACCGAGAAGGATCGCCATGACTTGATCGAGTGGGGCGTGAAGAACCAAGTCGATTTCATCGCCGCCTCCTTCGTTCGCAAGGGCAGCGACGTGGAGTACATTCGCAGCGTCTTGGGCGACTTTGCGAGCAAGGTGTCCATCATCTCCAAGGTTGAAAACATGGAGGGTCTGGACAACTTTGAAGACATCGTGGAAGCCTCCGACGGTGTCATGGTCGCTCGCGGTGATTTGGGCATGGAGATCCGCATGGAACAGATTTTCTTGGCTCAAAAGCGCATGATTAAGCGATGTAATCTGGCGGGCAAACCCGTCGTGACGGCTACGCAAATGTTGGAGTCCATGACTGGCGCTCCGCGACCGACTCGCGCTGAGGCGACGGACGTCGCGAACGCCATTCTCGATGGCACCGACGCCGTGATGCTTTCGGGCGAAACCGCAGCGGGCTCGTACCCTCTGGATGCGGTGAAGTGCATGGCGTCCATCTGCCGCGAAGCCGAGGCGTACGTCAACGATGTCGCCGACTACTTCCAAATCCTCGAGCAACAAATGGTCCCGCTCGGGGTGACGGAGGCCATGGCATCCTCGGCGGTGCGTACGGCGCAAAAGGTCAACGCCTCGCTCATCATTACCCTCTCACGCACCGGTCACACGGCTCAGATGATCGCAAAGTACCGTCCCGCTATGCGCATCATTAACGTGTGCATGGACGACGCTGGGTTTCCGGGTCGCGCCCTGGAAGTATCTCGTCGGTCGCTCATAACCCGCGGACTCGTTCCTCTGCTAGAACACCCAGCATGGCGTGGCGAGAGCGGCCACCCGCAAGAGGTCATGCGCAATGCCATCATATACTGCCGAGACGTCCTCGGCTTGGTCAAAGCTGGCGACGCCGTAATCGGAGTCCACAGAATCATGGGCGAGGCAGTCTTAAAGGTCGTCATCGTCCCAGATGAGCTCGCCGAATCCTAATCTATCAGCACGTATATTAATTTGTCTCCAAGCACAGCACAGCACAGCAGATTAGAAGGCCAGTACCGTGTAATAGGTAACCAAAAAGGCGCAACAGCAACAGTCACAGTCATCCGCGCGCGAGGTCTCCGCCCGAGCGTCCCAAGATTCCCAAAATCTCAGTCATTCCTCACACGTCCACCCCTCACGCACCGACCCGGACCCCATGATCCGGTTCATCTTATTACAGAACCGTCAGGGCAAAACCAGACTGGCGAAGTACTACGTCCCGCTCGACGACGACGAGAAACGCCGAGTCGAGAGCGACGTCCATCGATTGGTCGTCAACAGAGACCCCAAGCACACCAACATCTGCGAGTTCCGTGGGAACTCGAAGATTGTCTATCGGAGATACGCCGGACTATTCTTCTCGTTGTGCGTCGACCTGAACGATAACGAGCTGACGCACCTGGAGTCGATTCACCTATTCGTGGAGATGCTCGATCACTTCTTCGCAAACGTGTGCGAGTTGGACTTGGTGTTTAACTTTCAGAAAGTGTATCTGTTGGTGGATGAGTTCATTCTGGGGGGAGAAGTGCAAGATACGAGTAAGCGGGCGATCATGGAGCGCTTGGCGGAGCTCGAGCGGTTGAAGGATTGAAAACGCGAGCGCGGCGAGCGCAGAGCGTAGAGTACGTTAGAGATAGGGAATAGGTTCTAGTCGTTATGAATACAACAGAGCGGCGGTGTACAGTATGGATGAATAAATCGTTTGCGTCAGCTCGCGAGCGCGCGCTCGACGAGGACGCTGGCGTTGAAAACGGCGTGTGCGACGACGGCCGCGGGTAAACCGCTCGGGGTCGATTTGGCGAACGCAAAGACAACGCCGCACGTCGCGAGCGAGGGGACATCTCGCGGCGAGAAGTGCGCGACGGCAAACACCATTGATGATATCGTCACGGCGAGTGCGTTCGAGCCAGAACGAGTGATAAGATCGTCGTAGAGAAATCCTCGAAAGAAAAACTCCTCGAGCGCCGGGGCGACGACGCACGCTGCGATCGCGGCCGCCGAAGTCGCCAACGCGCCCCCATCCGCACTCGTCGCGAGTGCTGCCGTATCGATTTTATCAATCCCATCGCTCGCGCCGAAAAGCATCGCGCTCGCACCGTCCACGACTCTCGCGCAGACGCACGCGACAGCTCCGAAAGCGACGCCGTCCAACACCGCCCGTCCACTCGCCCACCCCTCGACCGCGTCGCGCAGCACATCGTCGTTCGAATCATTCACGACTCGATACGTCGCGTACGCCTTGATCGTTTCGCACGTCAGCGCCACGATCGCGAGGTACTCCACGTCGCTCGTTTCGCCGAGTCTTCCCGACGCGAGCGCGCTCGGAGCGACGTACCCGAGCGTCACCCACGCGTACGCAAACTTTGCGCTCGCATTGAGGACATTCGCATCGACGCGCTCGCCGCTTGAGCGCGTGAAACGAGTGCTCGAACGACGAGCTCGAGCGTGTGAGCTTTGATAGTGAAAGTTGAGCTGACGAGGACGAATTTGAGCGCGTGAGTGCGTCACTCGCATCGAGTCCACGACGCGAGAGGCTCGCGAGGGCGTCCCCACTCGAGTCGCGGGGACGCAGCGCGGACTCGAGGGCGACACGACGGCACCTGCGGTCGGCTTGCTCGCGCGGTTCGGGCAGAGTGAAACGCGTGCAGAGCAAGCATGACCTTGACTTGGCTAATTTTTATTCACACACGCGCGCGGTCTACGGTGTCTCGCTACGTGAGACATTTTCGCATATTCGCGCTCGCCGCGTGAACGTTCTAATGTCTCTAACACATTAGACGATGGAGCTCGCGGCGCTCGCGACACGCGGCCACAAGTCGGCGCACTCCTTCGCGACCGGCCCCGCGATGGCGCTCCCCTTCAACTCGCCCTTCGGGTTCGTGATAACCCCCGCATTGTCCTCAAAGTAAATGATCAACCCTTCCTTTCTGCGGATCGGCTTTCGTTGTCGAACGATGATGGCCGGGAAGACCTTCTTCCTGAGCTCGGGCTTGCCCTTCTTCACCGTGGCCATGACCATGCTTCCGGGGTTAGCCGCCGGCAACCTGTTCTGGCGAGATCCCCAGCCTGTGATACGCGTGAAACAATTCGTCATCGGGCGTCAGTCAAAGTCTCAAGCATTGAATCGCGTCGCGTCGAGCACCGAACGCGAATCAATCAAACAGGGTTTCGCTCCAATACTTACGCTTGACGGCGATCATGTAGAGGTTCTTCGCCCCCGTGTTATCCGCGCAGTTCACCACGGCACCGACCGGAAGACCGTAGGACATCTTGTACTTGGTACCGGAGGCGTTACCGCCACCTGTAGGACGCGAAAACGAATCAAACAACGCGTCAGTCGTCGTGTTCGCGCGCATCGCGAAGCCCTAGTGGGTTCGCGATCTCTTTCGCTTCACGCCCTCGCGTCGAGCGCGACGCGCGCACGAGAACGTCGACGCGTCGATCGTGACGACGGGTTACCGTTCGTCGCGCGCACGCACCTCGCTTGGACATCGTGTGCGTTCGAGAGCGTCGCGAAGAGACGGCACGGGGCGACCGTCGGTCGACCTCGTGCGTGGTCGCGAAGTGTGCCCATTGCATACTTTAATAGTTTACAGTCGATGAATGCATGTAAATTTTACATAGATCTAGTAGTACTATAATACATTGTATCGGACACGAGGCATCATCGCGACGCCACCGTCGCCTCGAGCGCGCGCGCGGCGCGCTCGCACCGCTCGAGCGCCCGCTCGACGCCGTCGAATTCCGAATCGTTCGCCCCCTTCGTCACCACCGCCTCGACGCACCGCAGCGCGCTCTCGGCGTCCGCGACGGCGGCGTCCGCGTACATTCGTTGCGCGCGCGCGCAATCTCTCGCCGACCGCACGAACGCCCGTCCCCTGCGCTTGGCGTGCGCGCACACCTGGACGTGCCCGTTCGACACGTCGTCGGCGAGCCGAGCGATCGCACACCTCGCGTCGTCGAGATCGAGCGCGACGTCCTGGGATGACATGCGCGCGGGAGTGACGGTTAGCCGACGAGCGCTCGAAAACGTCACTCCGTGGCGTCTCAGAGCGCGTGCGCGATGGCGTCGAGACGGATATCGAGCGTTGGTGATCGTCTACGGCGCTCGAGCGCGCTCGCGGCGTCCACGAGGGCGACGAACGCGCGAGAGACGGGCGACACGGTGCTCCACATTGGGAATCACCGCGCTTGGATTCGTCATGGAATCGGACGCGCGCGACGTGCGCGGTCATCCGAGGCGGCGTCGCACGACGCTTTACGGCTCATTGAACTCGCGCGAGCGGTCCGCGCCCGTGGGCACCTGACCGCGTCGTTGGATCCGCTCGGGCGGTCGCTTGGACCAATCACGAAGGGGTTCGAGACGATGGAGGCGACGACGCCGGCGGACGCGCGAGACATCCACGCCCTGATCACGGGGTACCCGAATCTGTTGTATAAAGACGGCGAAAGGGTGTCGTTGGGGAAATATTTGGGTTTACGGGAGAGCGATGCGAACGTGGCGCATTACTTGGGCGAGGACGCGGCGACGCTCGATCCGAGCGGAAGGGCGGAGAAGACGCGATGGCGGGCGAACGAATTATTCGAGCGCTTACGCGACGTCTACTGCGGAACGATGAGCGTCGAGTGCAATCATTTGACAAGTCAGGATCGCAAGCGGTGGTTACGAATGCAGTTCGAAAGCGGACCGGAGAGACCGAGCGAGAAGACGCGGCGCAAGACGTTGGCGAGGCTGTTACGAGCGGACATGTTGGAGAATTTTCTCGCCGAGAGATTCCCGAGCGCAAAGAGGTTCGGATTAGAGGGCGCTGAAAGTTTAATTCCAGGTTTACAGGCGTTTGTCGAGCGCGCGGCGGAGCGCAGAGTGGAATCCATCGTCCTCGGCATGCCGCATCGAGGTCGTCTCAACGTCTTACACAATGTCTTCGGCAAGCCATTAGGGGCCATCAGTGCGGAGATAGTGGACGATAGATCATCATTCTTGGTCGGAGACGTGCGATACCACCTAGGTGCGCGAGCACGCGTCGATGTGGAGATCGAGGAAGGGGAGAAACGTCCGGTTACGATGACGCTGGTGCCGAATCCAAGTCATCTGGAGATGGTGAACGCAGTCGTCAGCGGCGTTGTTCGCGCGAAACAATTTAGACGCGATCCCGAGGCGCAGGGTGCAGGAGCGCGAGCACATGTGCTTCCACTCCTCTTACACGGTGATGCTTCCTTCTGCGGACTCGGACAAACGGCAGAGGTGATGACGCTGCAAGATTTGCCTGATTACAGCACCGGCGGGACGGTACATGTCATCGTGAACAATCAAATCGGTTTCACCACCGTTCCTCGACGGGCGCGCTCTAGTCCACACCCGAGCGATGTCGCGAAAGCGTATGGGGCACCTATAATTCACGTAAACGGCGATGATCCAGATGCGGTCATTCGGGCAATGAGACTCGCGGCTGACTACCGCGCCGAATTTCAGTCGGATGTCGTGGTAAACTATGTGTGCTACCGACGCTTCGGTCACAACGAGCTGGACGATCCTTCCATAACGCTACCGCTGATGTCGAAAAGGATAGATTCTACTCCTCGAGTGGCGGCGACGTACGCTAATGTGTGTGTTGCCGAGGGCATGCTCTCGAATGACGAGTTGCGCGAGCTCAAAGAGGACATCACAAGGGATTTGGCCACTGATAGTGCCACGCATCAACATTTCATTCCGACCACGGAATCGTGGCTCGCATCTACACATTCAGTGACGACAGGCATCGCCGGTCGAGAAGCTCTAATCACATCGTGCGGAACGGGTATGCCGCTCGATGCCTTGAAGGAAATTTGTTACTCGATTACTTCGCCACCCGCGGACAAGAATTTCGAGTTACACCCGTACGTGAGTGCCATGTTCGAGGCGCGCAGAAAAGCGATGGAGCCCGAGGCGCAAGTGGGCACAGGACGGATTGATTGGGCGACCGCCGAAGCGCTAGCGTTCGCATCCATACTGATGCATCCGGATGATAAGTACTGGGGTAAGCACGTCGCGTGGTGGATGAACCCTGACGAGGAAGCCCCGCTCGGATCGCACGCGCACGTTCGAATCAGTGGCCAAGACGTCGTCCGTGGAACATTTAATCATCGTCACGCGGCTGTGTATTGCAGTCGGACATCGTTCGAGCACATTCCACTCGACAATATGGGCGTTGGATCGCAGAATAGATTTATTGCCGCGAACTCGCCCTTGAGTGAGCACGCTGTGCTCGGATTTGAGTACGGCTTCTCAATCGAGGCGGGTAAAGAGGCCCTCACTATTTGGGAAGCGCAGTTCGGTGACTTTGCGAATAACGCGCAGGTCATCATAGATCAATTTATTTGCTCCGGGGAAGAGCGCTGGGGCCAGCGCAGCAACTTGGTGCTACTTTTGCCGCACGGCTACGAGGGCCAGGGTCCCGATCACTCCTCTGCGAGGCCCGAGCGCTGGCTTGCCGCGGCTAATGACGATCCCGACGCTCTTCCCGGTAATGCTGCAGCGGACATCGCGTTCGCTGAGCGTACGTTTGAGGCGCTCGGACCAGATGCGGACGGTTTCGTGTACGTAGAAAAAATCAAAATGATCCTACAACCTGATGAGGTTGAAGATACAGCAAAAACCGAAACATTCGCCAGGGCGCTCGAGTCGAGCGATGGAAGCGATACCAGCGGTATGTGGGAAGACATCAAGGCATACTTTGGCTCGAGCGGAAAGATTCACCGAAGGGATTGGATTCGATACATGCGCCGGCGCGCGCGAGCGTCATTCATGACGCGCGCAAACTTCGTCCTCGTCCAGCCGTCGACGCCAGCGCAGTATTTCCACGTGCTCAGACGTCACATGAGCTCGCCACATACGAAGCCTCTGGTTATTCTGACCCCGAAGACGCTGCTCCATCACAAGTACTGTGCGAGTAAGCTCATGGATTTCGCTCCAAAGTCATCCTTCCGAAGAGTCATCGCTGACGGCGACGCCGGAGACGACGTCACTCGCCACGAAAGCATCCCACTCAAGCCCGCGAACGAGATCAAGCGCGTGGTACTGTGCACGGGGAAGATGTACTACCAGCTCGCTCGCCAAAGACTGGCGAAGAAAATTGATGACATCGCTATCGTGCGTCTCGAGCAGCTCTTCCCGTTCCCGCACGACGCCTTGGCTCGACGTCTCCAGCGCTACCCCAACGCCCACCTCGTCTGGGCCCAGGAGGAGCCAAAAAATATGGGTTACTGGGCCTATGTCGCCCCCAGGATCGCCACCACCGAGCGCGCCACCAGAACGCGCGCCACTTCCGACATCTCCCGCCTCCGATACGTCGGCCGCCCGCCAGCAGCGAGCGCCGCCACCGGCTCCTTCGCTATTCACACCACCGAGACCGCGAGTGTGATCAACCAAGCCCTCGACGCTGATGAAATGCACTCGGTGTAGACCATTCGCCACTCACGATATTGTAACAACAACACGATTGCCGCATTATTGACGCCTTGACGCTCTTCGTCTGAGCGGCGCCAGGTGCCAACATTCAAAAATAATCCACGGCAACACATCCGCACTTCGCGACGCCATGCGCGACGCGCTCGAGCGCCCGTCGTCAACCGCGGACCAAACCACCACATCGTGCGCCCGTCCGTTACACGCGTGTTACCTCGTGATCTCCCTGGACGCGACGAAGAGAGGAAAGAGTTACGTCGGGTACACGATCAATCCACCACGGAGACTAGCGCAGCACAACGGCGCGCTGGCGAACGGCGCGCGATACACCGCGTCTCTACGGCCGTGTGACATGATTTTAGTCGTTACCGGGTTTGAGGACGAAGCGAGCGCGTTGAGGTTCGAGTGGGCGTGGCAAAAGCCGGCGACGTGTCGAGCGACGCGCGACGAGGCGAGAAAGAGAAAGTTGAGCGATAGAACGACGGCGCCCGGGAAGAAGGCGGAGTGTCTGTGCGCCATGTTAGGGTTAGCACCGTGGAGACACATGCCGCTGACTCTACACGTGATGAGCGAGAGCGGGTGGGGGTTGATCGAGCGACATCTGAGTTTGCTTCCAGAGCACGTGGAGCGAAGGCGTACGAGCGCGGAGGAGATGGAGGCGCTGGTGAAGCGGAGCGCGAACGGAGGACGCGGGGACGACGCCGTGAGGGTTGAGATGAGTGAAAGAGCTCTGAACGTGGACGCGAGTGGGCGAGCGATGAGTGCGAGCGTGAGTGCGAGCGACGGGGCGAGACGAGCGATGAAGTGCGCGGCAGGTGACGCGTGCGACAGACACGACGTCGATAGAATGGTTTCTTTCGATCGATGCGTCGGATGTGACGGATGCGGAGCAGTTTTCCACGCGACATGTCTTGCGAAACATTTCTGGTTGCGTGCGGGGGAGGCGGCGAAGGAGTGGAGCAGTCGATTGATCCCCGAGCGCGGGCCGTGTCCTCGATGCACGAAACGCCTGACTTGGGGCGTGGCTCTCGGCGCGACGCGAAGCGTTTCCATCGCGCCGAGCGACCTGAAGCGCTCGAACTGTGAGGATCATGATGACGATGATCTTGATATCGAAGTCGAGGTGACATCTGGCGTGAAGAAGCGTCGAACGACGTCCGCGCAGAAGCGATCCAGGCAGCGTATCCGAGCCTGGACAAGAGATTTGTCAGACCTGGACGATGGCGACTCGACGAGCGAAGAGCTCGCGTATTACGCGTCGCAGATCAGCGGTGATAAGTTTTCTTGCTCCTAGATTGTATTGATTTAGTTTAGATCGCAGATAGGTTCGTTCAGGCGCCCCGCGATTACTACGGCGACGTCTGTGATCGACGCCGAATCGGCCTCGAGCTTCTTTGCAATTCGTCGAGCCTCAACAAGAGCAACTTCGTCTTTGAGAATCTCCTCCATAACCCTTCTTAGTCGTCGCCACGTGAGGCATTTCATCGGCAATGCTCTTGCGTTAGTAGTAGATCGAAGGAGAGCTGCGTGGAAAGGCTGGTCCCAAGCAGCTGGCACAACCAGCTGAGGCCAGCCGAATCTCAATGCGTGCGCCAAGCAACCGATCGTGCCGTGGCTGACGAAGAGGTCGATATGTATCCCCGCACACGCTTCGAGTGGAAGAAATGGTATGTGTATCGAATTATTTGGAAGTGGTGGCAAGCGATCAGCGTGTCTGGTGAGAAACACTGCCTGTGCGCAGCTGCCTAGTGCCCGCATCGCTTTTGCCGCCGCTTTGAAGTACTTCGCCGCAAACGGTGGATTCCCACTGGCTGAGACGAACACGATCGTCGGAGAGTCGGCTCGATCGATGAAACACCGCACTTTACGAACCGCTTCGCACGAAGACTCATCGACATCGGGGGACCTTAAGGGAAAGCACACCTGATGGAATCCTTCGGGTGCTTGAGCAAACATCTCTGGATACATCGCGAACGCGCCTCCTTGACATAAAAACCAATCCTCAAAAACTCCGCCACGAACTGGGTCATTCGATCCCATGGACGCCGCGCGAAAATGATTCAATCTCGGCACGAAAGCGGCATCGACGAGGCGGTGTGCGAACCAAATGGCGAGACGTCTCGGTCGAATGCACGACACCGTCTCATACAGATACGGTGGAATTTTCAAATCTGGCTTCCTCACTAGCGCGGGAGAGAGCACGACTGAGAAACATTCCACCCGTGAACGAACGCCACGCTCGCGAATCTCTCGCTCTTCGATGCATCGCACCGCGAGATCCAGCGTGTGCGCCATGATGATGATCCGTCCTCGCGCGCTCGAAATGAGCTTCTCGAGTTTGCGCGCGTGTTCCTCCCAAGTCGACATCCAAAACCGCACGATTGCCCCACCGTCTCGCCCTCGTCCGCCGTGATCCCGACGCAACGCCTCGTATTCATCGCCGTCGCCCACTCCCACGAACTCAGCGCGCGCGCACTCTCGCTCGAACGTCGGATTACTCATGAACACAACCCTCGTCTCTCGCAGCACCTCTCCCAGCGCGTCCGCCAACATCGCGCACGGTCTCGCGTCCCCATCACTTCCACACGTCGCGCTCACGACCACCACGTCGCCCGCGCCCATCGTCCTCGGCGCCCGCGCGCCGCGGCGTGCGGTTCGACCCAACGACGATTCGTCTTCGACGTGACGAAAACAAACAACGTAAAGACGGTTGGCGTTCCACATCGCCGCCGCCGGAGAATTCGTCGCGATGCGCGCGGTGTCGACCCCGCGCGCGGCGCCGGGGGCGATCAAAAAGCACGCGCGCGCGCGCGGGCGGGGCGCTCGCGATCGCGCGCGCGCACGAGCGCTCGAACCGAACCGCGAGTGGCCCCCGAGCGACGTGTGGGAGGATTTTTGCGCCGCGCACGAGGGTGGCTGGCACGGCGCGATGTCGACGCACGATCCGCGAACGGGACGGGCGATCGCGCCCGACGGCGACGCGAGCGACGGCGACGCGGTGCGCGATGGGAATGACGCCCGGGAGTGGACGATCTCGACGGTGGGTGGGATGACGGGGGACGGAGACGCGCTGCGGCTGGAGACGCGCGGGACGCGGGACGGAGCGTCGAGCGATGGATCGAGCGACGAACGCGCGGTGACGGATGTCTGCGGCGGTGGACAGATGGGTAAGATGTTTATCGTGCAGGGATGTTACGCGCATGGGCCCAAGGTGCTGCCGGCGTGCGAAGAAGGGGCGGAGGCAGAGTTTGAGTTTGCGTTCGCGGAGGAGGAGACGCCGGGCGAGCGCAGGCGGGTTCGATTGGTCGTGCGCGCGGCACCGGGGAAGAAGAGAAACTGGGAGTTGGCCACAATTGAACTCACGCACGAGATGGCCAGCGCGTCGGGGATGTCGACGTGCGGATCGGCGACAGGGGAGTTTCTGACGGAACGGGCGCTGGGCTCAGGCGAGTGGCGGGCGTCGAGCGGAGTGACGTTCATCGCGATTGAGGCGCTCGCCGAAGTCCCTGAAGATCGCGAGGAAATAGATCCCGAGACGGGTGAGGTTATGATAAAAGGTGGTGAATTAGGACCGGCGCAAAAGCTGGCGCGAGAGAAGCCAGAGGACACGGCGCTCGCTCGAGCCGCTGCAGCGGAGAAGGCGGCGGAGGAAAATCGAGCAAAAGACGAGCTCGACGCAGCCTTAAGAGATCCGGAGGGCATGCTCGTCGTCCCATGGTGGGCGGTAAAATCTCCGTCGAGTTGGTCGATGGCGGGCGAGTACATCATCGGTGGAAACTCCCCTCTCGTGTTCCTCCCGAACAATATGTGGGTGCTCGTCGAATCCGTCGACAATCAGCTCGTGGTGGAGTGCGGGCGATACGACGAGGGCGTACCAAGCGCCGTGATCGACGACACAGAGCGTCGCGTCCTCGCGCGACGTTATCGCAAAGGTCGCTTTGCCTCCGCCTTCTTTGTCCGCGAGCGTCGTCTCGATCCTCAAGAGCGCGAAGACGAGGCGGATGAATTTGACATCTTCGACGAAGACTTCGGCTTCGACCAAGTACTCGTCGACGACGTCTGATCGTCCAAGTTGTAACACCACTGATTCCATGGTCTTCGATGTCCTCCGCGAATCGTTCTTTTCGCACTCACAATGACCCGACGTTCTGACAGTCGTCCCGCTCAGCGCTCTGACTCGAAAATTTCGAGTCGAAATCATTCACAAATACTGTTGAGCACCGCTCGCGCATTTTACACTCACTGCGCGTCGCGCTCGACGGATGTCCGGCGACGACGCGCGAGTGACCGGAGAAGACGCGCGTGCGATCGCACTCGAGATTACTCGCGCGTCCGAGCGTGCGTCGAGCGATGTGAGCCGTCACTTCGTCGTAGAAGATGAAGTTGAAGATGAAGATGAAGATGACGTACGTCTCTCTTCGGGACGCTCGGAGTCGTGGACGCCGTCGAGCGGGAGCGCGATGGAGCGATTGCGCGCGTTGGAGGATGAACTCAGGGAAATGCTGGGCGAGCACGTGGTGGAGGAGGCCATGCGAGGATTGAAGCTGGACGGGGAAGAGGACGAGGCGTCGGCGGCGACGGACGAGGCTCCAGAGCCGCGAGCGGAGACGCCGAGACCGCGAGAGAAGTTAGTTTTAGCGCCGACACCGATGGCAAAGGAGGGATCCGAGGGGGGGAGCGCGTCAAGGAGAGGAACGAGTGCGTCGGCGACCGCGAACGCCCGAGACGACGAGCCGTGGGATCCGTACGCCGCGTTCATCGGTATTCGAAGACAGAAAGAGCCAGAGCGTCCGCGTGAGGTCGAGCCGCATGTTTCACTTGCAGCGGCGGCATCGAAGGTAATGATACCGCTCGATAAATCTCTCACGCACGGCGAGACACTCAGGCTTGTGGCTGATTTGGAGAAAAAGGTGAAGCCCGCGTCGGCGGCCGACTCTCTCTCTCCAAATTTACACCTCGTGAGCGAACCCGAAGTAATCGTTGAAGACGTCAAGGATGAGACCGTAGAGCGGAATTTCACGCAGCAGTACACGCGTGAAGATGCGGTCACGATATTAGAGCTCGCAGGAGATGCCCCGACAGGACTGTGGATGGACACTGCCCAGCACAGCAATTTGCGCTCCAGAGCGCCTCTCATCCTCTCCACCGCGACGCACAAAGGAAAAGAGATCGTCGATGATGCCTGTGATTTAGACGAGAAGAGTGTTACGTCCGGTCGAACGTCAGGGACGCACGCAAGAGACAAAGGCTCTGGACGCGCGCCTAAGATAGCGGGCGTCGAGACCGTTGCGGAATTTCGACAGCTCATGGATAGCATCTTCGAGGAGGGAGAGGATGACCGTGGCGGATTTAGCCATTAGTTTATTTATTGGAAAATGTTCTATCGTTATTTTGTTTTGCAGGAATTCGGAGAGTCGGAAACGATTTCGACGCCGAAAGCGATACTATCGAATGAAAGCACGAAAAAAAGAGACTTCGCGCGAAAGAATCTGTATGCCAACTTAGAAGCTGTCGCCATCCGGAACCTCGACCACCTTCAAGATCGCTTCACCCAAAAGGCGGTGAACGCCAACAATCTTATCGCCAGGCTTCACAATCTTGAGAGAATCGCGAGCGTAAAGAATGGTGTTACGCATGACAGCTTGCGGCACAATGTCAGAGCCTTCGGCCCATTCTTGCGGTTGGATCACCGGAACAATACCGCGGCTCATGAGAAACTTGCGTGCGATCTGACCCGGATTCTCGACAGAAGCGTAGGCCACGGCCACGATCGGGGCAGCGGGGCGGTACTTTGCGATTAACCGCGCGGTGTCACCAGATTTGGAAAGAGTGATGATGGCCGCCGCGTCAACCTTTTGCGCCGTACGAACGGCAGAAGATGCCAGGGACTCGACGGTGCTCATCGGCATCGGTTGTTGCTCAAGGATAGTGAAGTACGTCGCGAGGTTATCGACGTACGCCTCGGCTTCTCGGCAGATGGACGCCATGCACTTCACCGCATCCAGAGGGTACGAGCCCGCTGCGGTTTCGCCCGAAAGCATCACGGCGTCGGTGCCATCGAGAATGGCGTTCGCGACGTCCGTCGCCTCGGCGCGAGTCGGTCGCGGAGCGCCAGTCATGGACTCCAACATTTGCGTAGCCGTCACGACGGGTTTGCCCGCGATGTTGCATCGCTTAATCATGCGCTTTTGAGCCAAGAAAATCTGTTCCATGCGGATCTCCATGCCCAAATCACCGCGAGCGACCATGACACCGTCGGAGGCTTCCACGATGTCTTCAAAGTTGTCCAGACCCTCCATGTTTTCAACCTTGGAGATGATGGACACCTTGCTCGCAAAGTCGCCCAAGACGCTGCGAATGTACTCCACGTCGCTGCCCTTGCGAACGAAGGAGGCGGCGATGAAATCGACTTGGTTCTTCACGCCCCACTCGATCAAGTCATGGCGATCCTTCTCGGTGATCGTCGGCAAGTTCACGACGACGCCCGGCAAGTTCATGTTCTTGCGCTCGCCGAGCTTGGCGCTGTTTTCGAGCTTGCATCGCACCTCGCCCTTGGCGACGTCGCACTCGAGCACGGTGAACGTCACCGAGCCGTCGGCGCACAAAATCTTCGATCCAGGCTTGACATCCTTCGCCAAATCCGGGTACGACACCGCGATCTTCTCTGCGCTACCCTTGAAGTCGTAATCCGTGGTCAACGTGATCTCGTTGCCGGCTTCCAACATGACGGGGCCGCCGCACGCGAGCATACCGGTGCGAATCTCCGGTCCCTTCGTGTCGAGTAACACCCCGCAGTGAATCCCGGTGTTCGCGCACGCCCGTCTGAGATTATCCAAAGTCTCCTGGTGGTACTCGTGCGAGCCGTGAGAGAAGTTGAATCGCGCGATGGACATCCCGGCTCGCAACATGTTCTCCAAAATCTCCACCGTCCTCGAAACCGGTCCGAGCGTGCAGATGATCTTCGACTTGAACGACCCATCCTGCGCGATGCCACCGTTATCGAGAATGCTCTTCGTCATCGACCCCGCGCCTTGCGTGAGATCGACGTACGAGCCGTGTCGCGTCCCTTGCCGGGTCAAACCCATGTCGTCCGCGCGTCGCCTCTTCGTCGTCACCCGCGTGTCGTTCGCTCGTCACCACCGACGCCGTTCGTCGTCGTCACCCGCGTCGCGATCCCGTGCGTCTCGCGCGCGGCGTCGATCGATCTCTTCCGTCGCGTTCGCCCGCGCCCGTGTGCCGCGTCCGTCGCGCGCGCGGTCGTTCGCTCCCGGGTGGCGGCGATCGCGCGGGCGACCGCGCGTCCCACCGTCGACGAGTCCGCACTCGTGATCGAGCCCGATCGAGACACCCGAGGGTTTCCACACCCGATCCCACCGTCGACGAGTCCGCACTCGTGGACGCCCCCGATCGAGACACCCGAGGGTTTCCACACCCGATCCCACCGTCGACGAGTCCGCACTCGTGATCGAGCCCGATCGAGACACCCGAGGGTTTCCACACCCGATCCCACAGTCGACGAGTCCGCACTCGTGGACGCCCCCGATCGAGACACCCGAGGGTTCCCACACCCGATCCCACCGTCGACGAGTCCGCACTCGTGGACGCCCCCGATCGAGACCACACCCGAGGGTTTCCACACCCGATCCCGCGCGCGGCGCCGCGTGTCCGATCGCGCGCGTCCGATCGCGCGATCGGAGATTTCATGCACGCGCGCGATGCCGCACTACGGACGCGAATGAGATAAAACCCCCGCGCGGCGCCGCGCGCGACCGACCGAGTCGACGAAACACCCGGAAAAAACACGCGACGCCGAGGCCGGGGGACGGGAGACGCGCGCGAACGCGAACGCGTCGAGCGCGATGGCGTCGAGCGCGGCGCGCGGACGTGCGTCGATCGCGCGCGCGCTCGCGCGTGGACGCGAACGCGTGGGACGACGGGACGCGCGCGCGCGGGCGAGGACGAGTGACGTGCCGGCGCACGAGAGCTCGCTCGCGGCGATGGGGCTGACGCCGGAGCGACGGACGGGGGGGGGGGTGCGCGCGACGGGGACGACGTTCACGACGTCGGCGACGTGTCCGTTCGCGCATCGGTGCTGGCTCGCGCTCACGGAGCTGGACGCGGGGTATGATTTGGAATTGGTGAATCTCGAGGCGAAGACGGAGGCGTTCGAGACGCTCTTCGCGCGCGCGGCGCCGGACGCGCGGGCGAACCCGAGCGTGCCGATCCTGACGCACGACGGGACGATCATGGTGGAGAGCGCGTTGATTTTGAAGTACATCTCGGAGACGTTCGAGCGAGAGGGGAAATCGATTCGAGCGAGCGGGAAGACTGGGTACTACGGACAGTTGTTCGCGGATACGTTTCAGCAATGCGTGCCGGTGTTCTTTAAGATGCTACGAGCGACGAACGAGGCCGATCTCGGGGAGGCGGTGGACGCGTTCGTGGCTGGATTGAAGAAGGCGAATCGCGTGCTCGAGCTCGGCGCCGCGGCGCGCGCTGGGGGACCGTACGCGTGCGGCGAGCAGTTTACGACGTGCGACATCATGGCCATGACATTCGTACCTCGCTTTGAAATCGTTCTCGCGCACTACCGCGATTTCAACCTTCGCGAGACTTTGGCACGAAACGAATGCTCCGCGCTAGAAAAGTGGATCGACGCCGTGAGTTCAAGACCAAGCCTGGTTTACACCTTCGGCGAGATCGAGCGTTTAACGGGAAAGACGCACGAGCAGGCTTTCGTCGATCATTTTGCCAAGTTCGTAACGTGGCGATCGAACGAGGGCCGTGTCGCGACCTAGCCACCACGACGTGGTATATTTGTAACAAGAAGGGAGCACGAATATCATCAATCCACGGTTTTTTGATACTAAAACGGTGTCACTTATAGAATTTCGTCGTGGTAGAGCGGACTATCTGAGGACCATCGCCCGATCGGCGAGGAGCTATGCTCGCATTCTCTGCGCGCGAAGGGAATGATGGACGCTGCAATCGGGGTGGCGGGGCCATCTGAACCGCGGGTGCGGGTGGTTTGGCCTCCGTCTTCTCCACGGGTCTGGGTGGCGTCGTCGGCGCGCGCGGACTTTGCTCCCTGGAATCCTCGAGCTCTACAGAACTCGTTGACAGCACCCTCCTTTCATCGAGCGACGCGAGTTTATGCATGAGTTGCACATTCAAATAATGCGCCGGTCGGTTTAAGCGAGCGGGCGACCCCGTCGGCGTCGGATCAAGAGTGGTTTCGATAGGCGTCATGTGCCCCGACGAGTGCGGCTCGCGGACTCGCTCGGGCGAAGACACTTCACGCCTCACATGTGCCGGCATGGACATTGAGAGATCGCTCGCGCTCACGCTCGCGCTAAGAGTCGCGTCCGTATCCACATCGACAACCTTCGGCTGCATGAAACCGAAAACAGTTGATGTAAAGCCAGCACTTTGACTGCGACCGCGCTTCGCACTGTTTCTCTTTGACGGCTGCGGCGCAACAGCATCGTCGACAAAATTCTTGAAGGTCTCGTTATCATCATCATTATCAGGAGAGGACTTCGAGGACTTCGCGCTCTTTTTCGCAACGAGCACGACAAAGGCGTAGAAGATGCTGACAAACATCAGCAAGCCAATCGGACCCACAAAGTAAATTGAAGAGAAGATGCTCTTCCACTTCTCGTGTCTTTGTTTTTCCACCTCCCTCTCTTGACGAACGATCTCGACAGCCGCGGCGGCCACACGCTGAACGGTCTCACCGTTCTCCTTCTCTTCCTCTTGTCTTTCTTCTTCGATCGCCTTGTGCGAAGACTTGTACGACTTCCAGTTTTGTGTCTCGCGTTCAGACTGTGGCAAACGCACGGGAAATCGATTCAAGAAATCCAACGTGAGAGCTTCGTCGTCGGTGTTTTCGTTCCGTTTGATGTTCTCAGCCGTCAACACGTTCTCGTCTGCCGGCCTGAGCCCCTTGCGCGCCCACGAAGTCTCCGTCTGCTCTTGGTCGCCGTGTACAGCGTTGCTGTACAAATCTAAATCCTTCGTGGTGTCAATTGTTTTCTTCGGCGTCACATCTTCGATCGATGTCTTCTGCTCGACGTTCATCACCGGCGGTGGCGTACTCTTTGTCGCATCGATCGCATCGGTACTAATCCCTTCGGCCAAAATGTGATTGCCCATCAAAGACGTGGCGTTTGAAACAACCGAGGTTGCCTTCCATTGCGCCGCGTCGCTTGACGCATTCGTCGACGCGATGGGCAGTGTAGACGTCAGCGTGGTCGTCTCTGATGGTACAAAGCTTGAGCCACCCGTGCGTTTTTCGATCTCAGCGAGCGCTGCGTCATCATCATCGGTTGCGAGCGTCGTCTCGTTTCCAGAGGGCACCGATTTCTTCAACTCCTTCTTCAACTCCTTCTCCACCTTATGGGACGTTTCCGAGTTCTGGATGAGGCTAGATGACTTCTTGCTAAGCTGGTCGAAAAGATCCTTTTCAACGCTCTTCTTCCCCAACTTTGCGTCCTTCGCGAAGATGTTTGACTCGTCGGCGAGTCGTCGAAGCGCCTCACCGCTACGCTCGTGCGCACTCAGCATTTCCTTCGTCTCTCGCGCGTGCCGCTTCTTCACGTCTTCCGCGTCGTCGTCGAACGCCGGGAGTTCAAACCCTAATCCATTCGCACTTCTGTACTCGTCGTCATCGTCGTCGTACCGATGCTTTCGATGCTTCCCCAGCGCCGCGACGGGCGTTCCGCTCGGCTCCGGCGCGAACCATCCCCGTCGCGCCGCCGCGCCCCACGACACCTCTCCCGCGTTCTCCTCCGCCGCTATCTCTCTCTCAATCCTCGGCACGCTCAACCGCACGTGATCATCCTCAAACGGGATATCGTCTATGATTCGCTCCCGCCACGCCTCGCCCGCCGCCGTCGTCGCCGCGCCGCTCGCCAATCCACCCCGTCCCAGCGTCCCATCGCCCGTCACCACCCCCGCGATGATCAACGCCGCGCTCACGATCACCGCGCTCGTCGCCGACGCGGGAAATCCCGAGGTCGACGCCCGACTCGAGCCGTCGACGCGCTCCATGACGCCGTAACACCCTCCGTCGACCGAGGCGTTCGAACACCCGCGCCGTACGCCCGCGCGCGTCCGCGCCCGCGCTCGCCGCGCGCTACGACGCGCGCCCGAGCGCCTCGCTCGCCCGCGCGCGCGCACTGGGACGCCACCGCGCGTGTGCCGTCGTCGCCCACGCGCGCGCGAACGTCGCGATCGTGCACGTCGCGACGACGCGACGACGGGGGCACTTTCATTGGCGTCACGCGTCGTCTCTACGACGCGTCGGGACTGAGTGGCGATGTGTACACACATGGGGGTGCGTGGAGACAGTGTATGGACATACACAGCATAAGCGTCACGCGTCCTGGACCCTGGAATACGACGCGTCGGGACTGAGTGGCAATGTGTACACACATGGGGGTGCGTGGAGACAGTGTATGGACATACACAGCATAAGCGCCACGCGTCCTGGACCCTGGAATACGACGCGTCGGGACTGAGTGGCAATGTGTACACACATGGGGTGTGTGGAGACAGTGTATGGACATACACAGCATAAGCGTCACGCGTCCTGGACCCTGGAATACGACGCGTCGGGACTGAGTGGCAATGTGTACACACATGGGGGTGCGTGGAGACAGTGTATGGACATACACAGCATAAGCGCCACGCGTCCTGGACCCTGGAATACGACGCGTCGGGACTGAGTGGCAATGTGTACACACATGGGGTGTGTGGAGACAGTGTATGGGCACGCACACCGTCGGACACCCGGGCGACGGCCGCGGGCGACGGTCGCCCCGCCCGGCGTCCGCGACGGCATTCCAGCACACTACATCGTAGCAATGTCCGCGCTCCTCGCTTCTTCTTTCGTCTCCCGGGTCGCCGCCTTCAAGGCGCAAAAGGTCCAAGTACGTTTTATGCTCGCGCTCGATCGCGCGCGCGCGTCGCGCTCGACCGCGGGGCGCGCGGGAAGGGTCGATGCGCGCGCGGGGCGATATCCGCGATCGGTGATGATTCGCAACGGTCGGCGGCGACGCGCGCGTGATGTCGATCGTTCGACGGCGGAAACGCGTCGGTGATAACGTTCGCGATCGCTCTCGCGCGTCGTCGGCGTCGCGCGTCGACGACGCGACGTCCACGGAGGGAAGATACGTTTTCGGGGTCGCCTGGGATACGCCCGCTCGACCGCGCGTGGGCGAGGGAGATCGGGTGATCACTCGATGGGGTCATCGAGGAGTCGTGACTCTCGCATTGGGACGATGGATTGGATAAGAAATTTAAAGCCAACGGCGAGTTCGTTACGAGCGAGACACTGACCGCGCATCGCGCATTCGTTCACCTCGTTCGCAGAACAAGTCCGTCTCCACCACCGTGAAGGCTGACATCTACCCGGAATTCGGTACCTACCCGGGCGGCGGCGAGTCCCCGATCATCCCGTTCGGCTCCGAAAAGAATGCCGAGCGTGAAGTGATCCACGGCCGCTGGGCGATGCTCGGTGTCACCGGTGCCTGGGCCGCCGAAAACGGCACTGGCATCCCGTGGTTCACCGCGGGTACCTTGTGCACCCCGGATGACTGCACGGCCGTCGCGGACAAGTTCCCGGGCGCCGTCGCCCCGCTCGCCCCGGAAGGCTCCGGCTACCCGTCCTTCTGGAACGTTCTCATCATCGAGATCGTTCTCGTCGGTGCCGCGGAAGCGTACCGTACCGGTATCTCCGACTCTCCGTTCGATGATGGCCTCACCGTCGGTGACGTCAACCCGGGTGGACGATTCGACCCGCTCGGCCTCGCCGAGTCTGGTGACCTCGAAGAGCTCAAGATCAAGGAGCTCAAGCACTGCCGCCTCTCCATGTTCGCGTGGTTGGGCTGCATCTTCCAAGCGCTCGCCACCCAAGAAGGCCCGATCGCCAACTGGCAATCCCACGTTGCGGACCCGGTTCACTCCAACGTCCTCACCAACGCGGCCAAGGGCTTCGGCTTCTACTAAGCGTTTCATCAGGTTAAACGATCGCGTCGAGGGCTTGCTCTCGTTTACGTGACGTGAGATCAATCAATGATACGTTTTGAGAACATCTTACTCATCGATTAAAAAACGAGCCTCGTAGGAGGTGTCTTGTAATACTCACTTCTTGCAAAAGTTCAACTCCCCGCAAAGCGCGCGTCGCGCGGATGTGGGGGCGCGTCCACGCGTTCTGATAGATGCTACTACAAAATGCGCAGGTCCGAGTGGGAAAATAAATAATGAAAAAAATAGGGGGAAGATCTCCCGATTCTATCTGGTCATCTTCTCGGCATCGACGAGATGGGCCTTATCTTCCCAGACCGCCCAGCCGTCGCCGCTAGCGGTGCACTGCCAAGATAGGTTTCCAACTTTTTGCGCGTTCGGCGACCAGGCTTCATGCCCGATCTTCATGCAAATCGATGGCTGCGTGACGTCGACATCGGTACACAGCCCTTCGGTGTATGCCTCCTTCGCGTGGCCTACGTGTGCGGCGTAGACTCCCGCGGTGGCGCGCTCAATGTGAATCGCCGCGTCCTTGGACGAGAGACGGTTGCGCTTACGAACTTCAAGCATCGCGTCAATGGATGGCTTGAAAACTGGATCGACCCAGTGATCAAAGAACACCGTAGGCGTTCCAGGATGCGTCAAGATGTAGCAGTAACCTTGCAGGACCTTGTCCCATGGGAAAGGCCAGTGCTGGAGCGTAGACCCAGTGTCGTGATTTTCTATGAAGGTCACGGCGCGAGAAGGCCAGATGCCTAAGAATCCCGGTGGACGACCTTTGTTGTCGATCAATCGCCAGTACTCGGTGCGTGAGACGGCTTCTTGCAAAATTCCCTTCGTCGTGAAGTCGAACGCGGCGGTGTTACCGGTCGTGGAGTCGACCCAGTTGCACGTGCGCTGGCGGTGAGCGTCTTGGTTATAATCCAAGACTCCATCCCTGTATCCACACTCGTCCCAGAACTCGCCAAAGGCCAAAAACGGTCGCGTAGCTTCGACGTACTCTCCCGTGAAGGCGCCACTGTAACCCTTGACGAAGTCAAACCTCCAACCGCGGAAACCGACGTCGCTACGCAACCATTCGAGCCACTGGGTCAAATCGCGTCGAACAAACTCTTGCGTGTGATCGATATTCGGCGCGGGGAGATAATCCTCGCCAGTCTTATGTGCCCCGCGGCCGCCAAAGGCGGGGTTCTCACACGTGATCGCGCGCTCATCCCAATCTAGCTTCCCGGTGTACTTGTTCCACCGACCGGCGTCATCCTTTGCCTCGGCGCATCTATGATTGATGACAATGTCCGCCACTGGGGTGATGTTGTACTCACGCAGGCGCGCGACACAAGACCTCAGCTCATCTTCAGACCCATAGAATGAGTTCAGATTGTACAAATCCGTCGGTAGATATCCTTGTTTACTCACAGATTTCGTCGGCGGCGGCAACCACACGGATGTGAAACCGGCTTCGGCGATTTGAGGGGTCATCTCAGTCAGGTGCGCGTACCAAGACGCGCCCATTTTTTCTGCGTGTTGGCACGACTCCCAATTAAATCCTTGAAGAATTAATTCACGACCATTTCCGCACGGCGTAGACGGTAGCGGGCGGCTCAGAGGCGATGCAAAGGGTGTTTGCGGGGCCATCTCGGTAATCTTTTTCAGCTTTGGGGCGGCGACGGTGTTCCTCTCATCCAAGGGCAGCCTCGACTTTGCTAGCGTAGAGACCGCATCACCCTGTGCCCTTTTCATGGAAGACTCGTCGTTTTGATTCTTCCGCACGATCTTCGCGCGCGCGCGTTCGCGAGACGCGAGCGCAGCTTCCATCGCGGCGAGCTTACGCCCGAACATGGCGCTCGCATCCGCGCGCTCCGCCTCAAGCCTTATACACTCCTCACTCAGCGTTACCTCGTCCGAACCATCGAGTTCCCACAAAGCATCTATTCCACAGCTCTCCACCTTGGAATACACACGATCAATCTGTACGAGACGCGCCGTGGCGCTCGCCAACTCGGCCGCGACCAACTCGAGCTGAAGCGCCATGCTCTCCGACTCGCCGATAGCCTGCGAACCGTCTCCAATAATCTCACCGAGCCTGTGCTGCATGGCTAAAATCTCCGTTTCCGCGGCGACGCCATAAATTTTCGGCATTCGCGACGTGTAACGCTCACCCATCCCGGTGACGGTTAACGCCTGGACGATGAACCTCTCCAAATCTTGAAAACTACTCTCCGGAACCTGCCCCGCATCCGCGGCGGCGTCGTCGAACGAGGCGTCCAACGACCTCGTCGTCATCGTCACATAAAACACATCGTCCACCGTCCGCCCATCATCCGTCGTTCGCGTGAACGAGCTCACGACGTCCAAGCCGTAATTCGTCAGCGCCGACACCGTCCGCGCGAGCGACCCTCGCCGATTCGGCCCCACCACGCGCACCGACGTGTTCGTCCCATCCACGGGATTATCCACGAACACCGAATACGATCGCACCGTGCTCTCGTCCTCGACCGATCGTCCCGTCCCATCCTCCCGCTCGCGCTCGTCCGCCACGGCGCGCCGCGCCCGCGCGCCCG